GAGGCAGAATTTGTTTGAACGCACTAATCTCAGGAACTTTTTCTTTTGCATTAGATTGCCCGTTTATTGAGGAAGGCTATATATATCATCATGCTACTACCCGAGGGAACGGAGCAGTAATATAATATACTAGCAGAACCCGCAGCTTCACTAGCGCTAAAATTACTAAAAATCTCTAAAAATATAGTTTCATACAAACTTTCATCCCCTATTTTACATCCTTATAGGATGAATTTGGAAAAATGCTAAAACACGTATTTATTTAATTTTATTAAAGAGCAAGAATACCAAGTTTCTAGTAATTCTGATCATAAATATTTTTTTGGGTTGTATTATAACGTCTTTTCCCGTGGGAAAGAGATAATTTTCCACGGTAAAAAGTAGTCTATGTCATTCTCCAGCCCGCCAACTATCTCCACACAGAAAAATACGCCAATCCGTTTCGACGTGAAAGAAAGACAAACAAACACACTTTCACATTTATAATATTGGTATGGATATTGTTGTAAAGTTTGATCAAAATCCAATCAGTAGTTTTTGTGTACTAAGCTGTAAAATTTATTATAGTTTTTTAACTATCCTACGGGAACTCTTTAATTTTCTGGGGCGAAAAGTATTTAAGATGTTGTCCGGGGATATAAGGTATCACCATGCAAAATTTCAACTAAATCGGCCCAATAGATTCGGAGATTAGCCCGTACAAACAGACAGAGAAACAAAAAATCGAAAAAAAACTGGATTTGTTTCTATTTGTCTTCTTACATCCTCCTGACTCGGTTTTTAGCATTTTTTTTCTATGTACAGACATTCAACCTCTACAGTTTTATTATATATATAGATAGTCTATCTATTCCATACTAACCGATAAAACATTCCACACACACAACAACACACAAATTTTCCACACTTTAGGAATCGCCAGTGTTTAAATAAAACAAAAAGAAATTCATAAATTTTGTATTTAAAATAATTGCAGATCTAATTATACCGTCAATTTGCAGACATTAAACATCGACATATCAATAATTCATATAAAGTGATGATAAATAAAAATTATAATACATTTATAAATTATATTTGGTTTTAAAAATAACTTTATTCCGCTTGATTATTATTTAATAACATATATCAATAACAGTAATATTAAGACTTTAAATATGATTTTAACAATTTTATAAAAAAACAAAAGTAAAACATACTTTTAATTCGAGATAATCGGTCTTGAACTTACACTAATTATTTTATTAATTCTGATTTATTAAAAATAATAATGATTATACTATTTTGCATATTAAGGCAGTGGTAGCCCAGTGGATACGCGCTCACTTGAGAAAGCGGGTTCAAATCCTGGGTCTCGCACTTCTGATATTTTCATGTGCGAATCATTCTCCAAGACAATTACCATTTGCCTTACGGCGAAGAAAACTAGCAAGCAGCAATTTCTCGAAGTATATGTGACGTCGCCGCACTTGGCCATCGTGGTTGACTATGGCTTGATCCCCCTCATAAGAGGCCTGTGCCCAGCAATGGGACGTTAAAAAGGGTTGAATACAATAATAATTAGCTTAAGAATATTAAACTAATAGTAAATTATACAAATTATATTTACCATGATATATTTGTCCTTGAATTCTTGTGATAAATCATATTTTTTAAAGAATATAAGCAAACGGTGTGGAATAAAAATATAGACGTGTAATATTAAGTGATAATAAATTAATTGCTAGTTACTTATTATTAGTAAGGCACGTATTAACTTTGGTTATATTATTACAATATTATTAGTGATTTATATAATATAAGTAACTTTACATCTAGGTATGTCTAATTTACATTTTATATTATAAATAAATGTTTTAGATAGTTATTTCTGTATACAGCTAAATAAAGTGGTAGTTTACCATACTCATGGCAAAGATTTATCTCCGATTTGCCCTCAAAAAACTTTAACCGCGTAAGTCTCGAGTTTTTGTAAAATTCATTGTCTACAGGAAATAAAATCCCAATTTCGCATCATTATGAAATGTTCTAATAATTGAAAAAAAAAACAGAAAATTCTTCCCATGTGTATGTACATTTTATTTTAAGTATGAGTAAGCGAGACGCACTATATTTGTTATTCATATGCAAACTTTTACTATGGTAACGGCTAAATAAACGAATTAAAAATCTGAATGACTTGTACAGTAATAACTAAGTGTACATTTGTTTTGTAGGAGCTATAATTAAGTATATATATTCGAAATTTTCTTTATTGTAAGCAAAACGTGACCATATTAATTAATAGTTGCAGGGCGCATCTACTGAAAAACTCCAATATCTCATCAAAAGCCACATAGAAACCAATAAAAATTTATCGGCTTCTCATGTGACTTTTGTCGCTTTTGATGAGATCGTATTGGATTTTTAATAGGGTATATAATTAAATCTTTGACGTACGGTGAATCGTTTTCCAGTGATGCATAGTAGTTATAAACTTAGCTATAAACTATTACTTAAGAATTGCTAATTGTTTATTATATTTATATCATTAAATATCATGATAATAAAAGCAGCATTAAATTTAATAATAACTGTAAAACATTTATAATGCTACTTTAAAACATTTTATTTTACCTCTCTATAGATTTCTATTACAAGCTTCTTATCTCGCAAATCGCAGGCAGTAAAAGCTATTTTATTTTAATGGTTAAATGTAAATATTTTCCTACAAAAATATATTAGCGAACAACAAAGAATATAATATACGCAGTTATGTTACACGTGTAGACCTGACGAAGAGGAAAACGATTTTATTATTTGTGCAAAGAGAAAAAATATATGTTTATTAGTCATAATAGATTTTGTTGGTGGTAGGACTCTGTCAAGTCTGAGGAGTCCGGCTGGATGGGTACCACCCATTTATCTATTGAAGGATAACGTAGCCAGCGCAATAGGGAATATGCGTGATTTTTTTAAATTATTTTATACAATAGCTTATTTTATAACATCCATATATAATTGTAAAAAATATCCAGCTCCAAAAAACTAGAATTTAATATTAAAAATATTATACCGATTTTAATATTAAAAACATTAAACGAACGCCATTTCGTGACGTCAAAGTATCATATATAGAAAAATGACGACTTTTAGTTTGTAGCAATAAAATCGCTAATTGCTGTATAATGATAATACTTTAAATTTCCCACCTATATTAATTGTACTGATTATTAAACAGTATTTTCTTAGTCAAAAAGAAATTCCATTAAAAATATTGACATAGGCTTAATTCAAAAGCAATAAAGATAATAAAAAAATATTTCACCTTCATTTAAATCACACTCATATTCCCTATAACAGGCAAGAGTCATATCTTGGTCCTAACAGTGACAACACACCTGCGGTTCTGCATTTTTGTAACATAAAACCTAAGTGCATGAACCACAGGTGTTATGGGCGACAGAAATCGCTTTCCATCAGGTGTGCTAGTTTATCACTGAACACCATAAAAAAAATAGTAAAATATGAAAAATGTGATAATGCTATAACAAGAAAAATTTGACATTTATTTTCTCACATATAGCTTTTACATAAAACAACTGCTAAAGTGCAATAAATAAATAATAAATATAAAATATGTTTTACAAATTATTATATTTTTTATATTTCATATATATATTTCGATGTTTGTATCTTATTATTTAAGTAAGCAATGTCTTGTTTTGATAACAAATATAGCACCTTTTCAATTTATATTTCATGCACATGATATAAATGAGAATTTATATACACTATGGTATACACACAGATAATAATTTTATAAAATGGTCATTTTATATTTAATACATTAAATTTAGTTTGAACGCGACCTTATTTGTTCTAAGGATGCTGAATGCTGTCCTTAGTTATGTAAAGGCTGCTATATAAAAGCTAATCGAATATTTTCGTAAAATAAGTAATAAATAAACATAATATTACCATCATAATATCTCTCCTTTAGATTATAAAATATATTTGATTTTTCTAGTGATTACAACAGTAATACATATATTATTTTTGAAAAAAAAAATGTGCTGTAATTTTATTTTAATTTTAATTCTCGTTTATATCACGAACTTTATTTTTACATTTATAGTAACTACAAACATTGCACACTTAACACAATTATATATATATAAATTCGGTCATGGATTCTACGCTACTCTATCTAGGTTTTTAAATTCTATGACAGTGTAGCACTGATGAACACACAGACAACTGTTAATTTTTTTACCGTATATTATAGTGGGCCTGCTAAATAACAATAAATTAATACACTGAGATTACTTCCAGATTGTTAAATGAACAAAATATTTACATAATTTTTTTATTGGTATTATATTGGTTTTAAAAGTTTAATATTTTTTTGTATTTTAATATAAATAAATATAATTTTCTTACTTCAAAGTTATGTGGGTACATTAAAAAACGATAGCTAAAATATTTTATTAATAATAATTTAAAGAATCATAAAAAAATTATCAAAGCATTAGGTATAAAAATGAATATGAATCTGTCGTTTTTAAAGTGTTAACTTTGAACGGTAGAGTAAAAAAAAAGTACTTCAAGCTTAAGAGCGTTTACGCATTTTCGGCGTTGCGTGGCAACAATTTTTTTTTTGGTTTTCGAAGCTATTTCGTTGTAATTAATATTTGTGGAATTTATACAGATATTTGACAAAGGTCGTAATTACATTTTCAGCTTCAAATAAAAAAATAATATTTAGGTTATTCGCATAAAAAATGAATTCAAACTAAGTCAATTATTAAGGATTATAATACGGCTAAAATTAATGTTTTCATCAATATATCTTACTTAATAAATTAATAACTAAATGTAGAAGAAAACATACTTTAAAAACATTATGTAACTTTTGTTTAACTAAAAGAGTAGAAGAGAGCAAATATTCACACACTTCTACCACGCGTAAACGCTCTCAAATAAAATCGATACAAATACTCGAATATTCATAATATTTATATACTGACATTATCGCTAATAGTGGATATGGGTATTTTTTCTTCTTTATCCGGATTCGAATGTAAAGGGCACGGTGGTCTTTTAACGCTTCGTTTCGAGTGTGTTCTTTTAGCTATCTTTGGCGCTCTTTGGGGGTGTCTAGCTACCGCCTTTGTTAAGTCATTTGCTGAAGCAGATTTATCGAAAACCTTGCACTTATTTTGGGGTGCAGGTTTAGGCCTGGGTCAGTCGATTACATGTTTAATCTTTACATATAAGACGCATGAGAAGAAAAATCCGAAAATTGGTATGACAGACATACCGACACCCACTGCGGCTAATATGATTAAGTTGTCTCGTATGTGGTTGGTAAACTGTCGCATGCAACCCTGAAATGAAATTATACATAAAAATAAATAAATAAATATGTACATATTGGGACATTAAAATTAAAATATATTCAGACATTGGCATATCACCATTTAGTTCCATGGTAAGCTACGAGGTCTGTGTTATGGATACCAGATAGTTGATACACTACACATAATATATAACTTTAAATACATACATATTATAAATATGATGTATTCATGTTTTCTAGATACGATAATAGTAAATTAATCTTTAAATCCACTTAGAAATATTTGTTTAATTAAATACAAACAAAAAGTAAGCGACACGGTCTTTATACAAATACTTTTGTATTGATAGCATAGATAAGATATTAATTGACATACATGAATCGTTCTAATTTTAAGAATAAATCACTTTTGTTTACTTGTTTTAATGCGTTTAAGTATAAAGAAAATCACCTGTGGTTTCAATTTAAGTTTAACGTTATATTATTAGTACGATTATTTTGAGTTATTTCAATATATTTTTTTTACTTTTACTAACAAAAAAGGAGGTTTTTGGGCGACCAATTATAAATTAATAACTCTTATTTTCTTACACAAGCTGTATCTCCAGGTATTCATATCGTGACCTTCAAAAATCTCAGAAACTTGACATTTTAGAGCATCATATTGCTAGCAATATTTGTTTATTTAAATATCCTCTATACATTCACATCAGTTTCATTGTACGCTACCAGTTTGAATATGCGTCGCTATTTTGAAAATAAAAATAAATAAATGGCGGCAGATTCCTAATGTCAGCTTTCTTAGAAAAATATTCAAATCACTTTCTACTTTTAATCTCAGTACAGAGTTACAATATTTTTTTATGCAACATTTATATATGTATAATATAATCTTATCCTAATTAAATGAGCAATCATTGTATATGTTCGTAGGCATATAAATTTATTTCATGTATCTTATAAATAGCTCTAACGATTTAGATCAAATTTTGTATTTATAAGGTTTTTCTTTTTAAGAAATTCTATATAGGTGTCTTTACTGAAAAAACGCATTTTTTTAATAATTACTAGAATATATTTTTTCTATATGGATATCGCCAATGGATGATTCATGATGTTCATACTACAATACAAGTAAAGCGAGAGGCCTCACATGGTAGTATATGTTGGAGGGGTGGTCGCGCGCGCCGCAGCGCGGCGTCACGCTGCGGCAGCAGGAGTCGGGCACGAGCAGGCGCGGGTCGTGCTCGTGCCACGCGCTCTTGCGCCACTCGTCGTAGCGGGACACGCCGCAGCACTTGAACTGAAACACACGTGTTATTATATATAACACTATTTTTCGGAGATTCATTTTGATTTTTGCTTTTGAAGTTTCGAATGCTTTATAGCAATCATGGGCATCATCTTCGGGAACCAAAAATCAAAATAAATCCACGAAAAAAAAACGAAAAGATAGTTTTATTTATCGTGTTGTCCATATTCTACGAACACCACCTTTACTGGTACTAGTCTTGTGGGTATTATCAGGACTCAAATAATAAATTATTTATTGACTAGCACTAGTATCAAAACATATGTAACTCTTCAAATCAACCAATTAATCAAGATCAACCAACTTTACTAAATCACGTATCTCCGAACAATATCATGATGGCGTCTCGACCCCGCTCGAGACGTAATCTCTGCTCGAAATTCGAAAGTAATAAAAACTAAACTAGATAAATAGCATAGTAACTTTAAACATTATTAAGGTTTTATAACAGAAAAAGGTAACTAAATACTCCTCCAATATACTTAAAATGTCATATATTCTATTAAATCTAAAATTGTATGACACATATTATGATATAAGGAAATCTTACCATTCAGAAATTAGAATACTGTGGAGGAGTAACAGTCAACAGTCTGTCTGTTTGTTCCTGCTAATCTCTGAAACTGAACTTTCACTGGCAGGTAGTTGATGTTACAAGGAGTAACTTAGGCTACTTTTATTTCAGTAAAAGAAGTAGGGTTCCGCTTAAAAAAAAAAATGTACCTAACCTGAGCGAAGCGAGGGTGAGTCGCTAGTCTATTCATATAAAAAGACGAAAAATTTGTGTTTTTGTTTGTATCAAATAGGCTTCGAAACTACCGATCCGATTTAGATGAAATTTGGTAAAAAGATAGTTTGGGGTCCTGGGAAGGACATAGGATAGTTTTTATCCCGGAAATCATCCCTTACGAGGGTGAAATTTGTATGGGGAAACAACCTAGGGACAAACCCGATCGAAGTGAAGGTGAGTCGCTAGTTGTTCATATCTGTAAAAACACATAAAAACTATTCAATAACAAATCATATTTTAAGTACTATTTACCTCCGTCTGCATACTATCTACGGCGTTAGTGATGACGGTGTCCAACGCGTAGTTGGTTATGAAAGTGTTATTGAGTTCTAAACGTAGCTCTTCTTCTACAGCCACTTCGTAGTAGTACGCGAGGCTTCCCGCACCCGCCTCCAAAATGAACGTGATCAGTAGAAAATATGTGTACTGGAAATAATATAGAATTATAAGATTTATACACATAGGACCTTGCTTAATGGAAGAATTGAGGAATACTCTTTAGAAGTATATGCTCAGGATCGGCGTTAGCCATCTGGGCGCCCCGGGCGAGTCATGCCTTTGGCACCCTTTTAGGTATACTTATTTCATTACAATTAAAAAAACCGTGTATGTAGAATTATTTAGGGAACGGACGATAAAACGCTGAATCTAGTTTTCCTTTAGATCGATCAAAATAAGTATTCAAATTAAATGGTTAAGTTGAGCTGGCGCGCGCGGCGCCCTGTATAACCTGGCGCCTCAGGCAGAAGCCGCACCGTATATGCCCCCGCCCTCCCCCCAAAGCCTGTTGTTTTCCTAACCGATTTTCGGATACGGTTCCCAATTCTAATGAAACTATCCATTTACACCGAGTTATTTAGTTGGTTAATGTGAAGCATCTTCCTTATAATACGATTGGATTGCAATTTGACACTAGTTCGTTTTAAGATCCCTCCGACTTAAAGATGTCTAGTTAGTACACATGTACGCTACTACTAAGAATTTCTAAATAAACACAAAATTTCATATAATATTGTAATAGGCAATGAGGTTTTTGTAAAGGGCATTTTTAAACGGCATAAACAGCTAAAAATGTGGGTCATAAAACATAAAAATACTAAACAGGGGGGTCTAAAAGTGCCTCAAGTTGTTTCCAAAAAAGGTGGTATGCCACCTTTAAATTTAAATTGTTTAAATTAAATATACAGCTTTCTAATCTTCATTATCAAAGAAAAATAATATAATTTTATATTAATACAACATTAATAAATATTTTCTTTTGAGATAAGAGCAAAATTATGATGAAACGTAACGGTTTTTGTGGCCTTGAGATTAGACGTTAACAAGAATGTTAAGAGAAAAAACTAGTTTGAGATTATTATGTAATATTCAATTTCAAGTTTATTCTAATGCGAATTTTAAGATGTTAATTTTATATGTAATGGATATTTTAAAAAGTTTCTGGGTTGGTTTTAAGCGAAGTTTTTTCTAGCGAAATGCAAATTAAAAAAAAATATCCAGGTTTGTTACTGTATATAATTAGAAGGGACTATTGGGATACTTACACACAATAAACTGGTTCTATTTTCAGTCTTGAGGCCGCAACAGCCGAGGGCGCTAAGCGGGACGCCTAAAGCGCCCGCTATTACGAGCAAGTACGTGATGGCAGGGTAGGTAAGCGTCGGTAACAACGGTACGAATCTATGCCTAGTTGCTACTGTCCACGCACCCACCATCAAAACACCGGCTCCTGCAAACTAAATATAAAATACCGAATTGAAAGCAATTGCAAAGTTTTCAGTTTAATAGAGTCATGAATAAAATTAATACACATAGCACCATCTAATTCCACGGTAAGCTACGAGGCTTGTGTTATGGATACCAGGTAGTTGATACACTACATATTTTATGTATTTAATTTTAAATACATACATATTTTAATCACCCATGACTGGAGTACAAACAATCGTAAACACAAATGAATGCCTCCAGCAGGACTCGATCCCGCGACCGCTGGCACAGTAAGTAGGGTCACTACAAACTAAGCCATACGTGTCGTCATATAAAATTGAAGTGATTCAAGTATTTTCACTTCTAAGTAGATACTTCATAATTCATATGAAGTCGTACGGTACCAAAGCTCGACAAACAATCTATCTGTTTGTGCCTTATAATCTCCTAACAGATTTCGGTAAGTGTCTTACATGATTGATGATGAATTTCGATAGCCTGTCATGTTCTCCTTACTATAAATAGGAATTTGACATCATTTACATGGAGCTTATGGCAAATGTCTATAGGCAGTTAGACAAAGGGAGTGACATATATACTGTGACTTAGAAGACAGGTATAACGGATTATAAGCTTTATTTACAATGGGGGATAAAGGATTTGTCAAAGACTGACATACATATTTTATATATATATATATATATATATATACATTATAAACTAGCCGGCTTGCTTACGTATATACGTAGCTTAGATCAGTCAATTTTATGTAAGTCGATTACTAATAGAAAAGACTATTTTTTACCTACTTATTCTCATTTACACTTGGGAAACTTAAAAATATTATGTCTAGAAAATACATTTCAGGTCCTTCAGGAAATCATTAATTAGTTAAATAGTGCTAGTTTGCTAGTGCGCAATTGTTATTTATTTCATCAATACGTAAAATGAAAAATAATATTGACATTGATATTATATATCAAATTTTTTTTTTTTTTTAAATACCACGTTATTTTTTTAAATTTCTTTATTGTGGCTATAGAATATCACTGGTATATATTTTTTGGTCTTTTGTGATCGCTGCATGCTGAACTAGAGTAGACCACTGAACCCTGCAGCTGTAATATCCTGCAGGATTTGCTTATGGGTACGCTCCATGATTACATCTGGACCTAGAAAGTGTTTCACTACTAGAAATAAGAATACTGCGCTTGTGCATAAGAAGTTCACATACCCAAAGTTGAACTGGCGTACCATGTTCGTTTCGTTAAAGGTGTAATAAATTCGTGGAATTTATAACGAATCTGGATAGTGAATGTTTACATTAAATTGTAAGATGTTAAAAATCACGGAAGATGATTGTACTGGCACCTATATTAATCGAGATTTTTAGTACACCAGATCCTGTTTTTAATTACGATAGACGGCTACTGATAACTATTCGTGTTCATTTTTGTTTATATTAATAGTAAAAATTAGTTAATGTGTAAAAATCAAATTTGAGAAATGTTCTCTTTTCGTCTGTTTGTATGATCATTATAAAAGTGATCAAAATAGATCGAGGTATGGGATTTATGTACATATTAATAGGTTAGCCACCGTTTACTGTATTCTATACCATAATGATTACAGTAAACTTATGAAGTGTTACGTATTTAAAACCAGAAAAGGCGGAAGCCACAAATCGATTTGTTTGATGTTAAACGAAATGAATAAGACTTAATAGGGGCCTGGAACGAGGGTGTTGAAGTATATTTACCACAGCAACGTTATGTGTGACCGATTTGCAATTGGATGCATACATGTTGTGTTTAGGTATTTTAAGAACCGTTTTACTCTGTAATATTTTTAATTTTCTATTAAAATATACATATATGGTAGATGGTTGATTATTATGTGACACAAACATAAAAAAAATAATAAAGCCTATTATTTTAATGTATTGACAAATTGATTTTCATTTTGGACAATCGTTAATAGCAAAGTAGAAACCTTTACAGCCTCAAAATAGGAGGGTGTCTATTATCTGTATGATATCAATTGATCGACATTAAGTACTCTATGGCTTTACAATTAAAAGTAGATAAAGTGGTAGAGGTTTTCTTTCTTTCCTTAAAAAGTATTAGAGATATTTTTTTAATTCTTTTATTTACGTTTTAAATACCTACATCATTGGATAGACTAACTCAATATATTGTGGACCTTCCAATAGCAATACCGGGAAAGACTGAGAAAATATACAGGTAGCACGAAAAATAATAGAAAATAAACAAGCTAAGAGAGTTGTAAAAAACTTAGTTGTTTATTATGTATGTAATTGGAAGTATTAAAATTTAAATTTTAGATTTTTACATAGTGATATGTGTTCTAACTACAAAAAAAATTTGATTCTCATAAGATGTCGGTGATCTTTTTTCTTAAGCCAACTGTAAAGAGTTTCTGACCTTGTGCATAATCTAAAGATTGTATATAATTACTTTACTATTTTATAGCATCATATGTACCACTAGGATCAACGCCACTTTGACAAGAATAGGTAGTTAAGATATTTTTTATATAAGAGGGATCTTTTGTGACTATATTTGCTGTAAAGTATTCGAAGTGTTCCCAACAAAAAAAAAAAAAACAAAAAACATAGTTTGTATAATCTGTATAAATATTATAAATGTGAAAGTTTGTACGTAGGTATAGATGTTTTTTATTCTTTCACGCCAGAACGGCTGAACGGATCTGAATGAAATTGGGCAAAGAAATAGATTATAGTCTGGAATAACACAGCTTACTTTTTATTCCGGAAAAATATACGGTGCCTGAGAGATACATTTCTTTTCTTTTCTGAAGGCGAAGCCGCTAGTTTTATATAATTACTAAATCTAAACGAGCGGACCATCGCTACAAAAAACCTATAATGTCAATGTGCCTTTAGATAGTGCATATAATCGAAGATAAGGCTATTTTATCAATATGTATCGGTTTATGTATAATTTTACAACAAATAAAGATTTTTCATTATACATTATGTTTTTATTGATAATACTTAAAAAGGTACGGTTTTGTTTTATCTATTCACCTTAAAACAGTAGAAGAAACGAATTTATAATTTACTACTGGCTTACCCTCGTTTCGCTCGGGTGCGTCCCTTGGTGCCTTTTGCATTTATAATATTACGACCTGTACCGTTTCGCTTGACGACTTGATTATAAAACACTTTTCTTTACTTTCTATAAATATACCTTATATGTATGTTATACATATAAACCCTTTGGAAGAAAATTGTATCAAAATCAAAAAAGGCACACGCGAAAAGCGACTTTATAAATTGTCAGATGTTATAGTTAATTAAAAGTGAAGCTAATAAAAGCGTTTGAAAAAATTGCCTACCTATATGTAATTCCAGTCTAAAACTATACATACATATAAAAATTACATGAATCTGTGTCAAAAGAACCAAACCTCACATTTATATTATTTATTCATTTATGTACCATAAAGTATATGTTATCTATACTAATATTATAAAGCTGAAGAGTTTGTTTGTTTGGTTGAGCGCGCTAATCTCAGGGACTACTAATGCGATTTGAAAAGTTTTTTTTGCATTACATAGCCCATTAATTGAGGAAGGCTATAGGCTATATATAATCCCGGAAAAATGTACGGATATGATTGTGATGATGTGGGATAAATTTGTTTTTCGCTAGTACAAAATAAAGTAACAGAATATCGACAAAGGATAACTTATCTCTTTAAGAGATTTCTTCCAGAAACCCTTCAGACGTGAAAAAATAAGTTAATTTAGTGCAGTGTATGTATAGTACAGCATTGAATATATCAACAAAAATATATCAACTATTAAAAATATATTAACACAGTATATATATATACTAGCGACTTTAGGTGTCTAACATTAGCCTATGGAGGTCAGTCTATCTGTTTATTAAATTTTATTCAATTCTGTCCAGCCATTTCTGTGAGGAGTAATAAACATACATATATACAAACATTCGCATTTATAACAGTAGTCTGATTAATATTAATAAGGAGGTAACATACTTACCAAAAATATAATGTTGAATATATGTAGAACACACTTTAAGAAGTTCACACTACAGCAGTCTGCATCTCTCGACTTTCTTGGTTTTACTTTCTTCTTTTTCGCTAGTAGTGCACTAGAGTCTTTCTTTTTCTCTTCTGCCATTATATTTTGCAGGTATCTTCAAGAATTTTTTGTATGAAATAAGACACTGCATAGATAATTAACTTGTATACATTGGTTATTTCTTGTTTGAAGATATTCTGAAAATAAAAATGTAACATTACATTCAATATTCAAGTTACTACTACAAAATATATGAAGTATATAGTTAAGAATTTATACTCACAGATTAATGTTAAAAGCTTTAGAAAAAAAGATTGAAACACTAAAGAAGATTAAAGTCAAAAAACGATTTAAGCTTTATTAGCAGTTTTACTTTTAAAATGGAATTTTACAACACTTAACTAAAATAATTATACATAATGTCTCAAAATTATTGAAAAATAATTAATTAGTAGAAAGTTCAAATAAAACTTGTATATAAATAGTAAAAAATAGGTTTTATGGAAATCGTAAGATAGCAAAGTATATACAGAACATCTTGGTATATAAAAATTAAAGAAATTTGTGTATTTAGCATTATTTTACATTCAGTCACTTTCATCACATTCATTGATTTATTATAAAAGTTTACCTAATCCTTTGGATTTTACATCTACATAAACATCAATACCAAAACAATATTCATAGTAAATAATGGCAAAAGTCCATTTCCAAAATGCATACTAAACACTGTCCATATCCGTCTATTCACTCGTCATACTGCTGTAGTGTAGTCTCCAATTTATCAACTATTTTCTTATAAAAAGTAATTTGCTGCCTCAAAAAGTTTTGCATAGTTGCCTTTAAATCTTCTGTTCTCTCAGCTTTGAAATGATTGATTTCGGCAAGAATTGCATATGATATGACATCAGTTCTTCTTAACACTTCATTCAACTGAGCTACTTCCATTTTGTTTTCAGCTGTTAATCTTTCGCACTCCCTTTTTTTCTGTACAGCTCCCTTATGATTTGCTAGATTATTGGGAAAAGAACCAACAATTCCTTTGTATAAATGAAATTTGTCACCGAGCGGCTCCCAATCATGTTTTGGTTGCTCTTCATACATTCTGCCAATTTCTATATAAGCACCACCAGTTAATTTTATAGCAGAAGTGAGTTTGGAAGTAGATATAATTGTGCCTTCGTCTAATGAGAGTGCATTCCCTAAACTGTAGATTGCTTCACCAATTTTTTGGGAATCACTTTTGTAAGGACCCTGGAATCTTTTTGTTTGTGCTAAGCACATGTTTGTAACAGATTTTACTGCTGTGTCCATACTGTTCAGGAAAGTATGACATTGGTCAGTGATGTGATCCACTTGGGATTGCAGTAAAGCTTTTTCAGGTACAACTAATGATATACAATAGTTAAGACCTAATAAGTTATCTTTCTCCGCCTGTCTCTTACCAGCTTTCCAACGTTTTTCATCAGTACAAGTAAGAAAGTGTTGCCACACTTCGCATTTCGATAGCACTGGATGTTTGCACATCCAGTCTACAAATTCTTGAAGCTGTACTCTTCTACGTTCAATAAGTTGCTCATCATAACGGCCTGATATTTGTTTATCAGGTAGTGGTGGGATGGGAATAAGTGTAAATTTTTCATGTAATCTCTCATGTAACCAATCAAAATGTTTATATCTTCTAGAAACTTGTATATTATTGAAGGAGGGTGTTAACTGATATGCAATAAAGCTTTTTATACCCTTAAACTTGGACTCCTTTTTAGGAGATGCAACTGTGACATGGTATGGCTGTGTTATAGGTGCCCATATGTAACTATCGCCTTCTTGTACTATGTAAACTTTGTCCGAGTCTGGAACTTCAACATTTAATGTTGCCAATAGGTAACTTTCACCACTAACTTTTGATGAAGGTGCAAATTTGTTTTTTCTTACTGTTCCTACAGTGGAGCTAAAGTTAGATGAAGTATCATCCATATGGTGACCGTAATCGCCAATAGGCATTCCTGGTAGCGGTGTAAGTGGTTCCTGTTGACTCATTGGAGGCTTATGTTGAGGGACACCCGGACCTATTTCTGAATAAGTGTCATCATCCCAATCGTCATCCCAGCCATCTTCATGTGAAGCTGTTTTATGATAATTATTGTCACCTGCATTATATTGTTGATCACTCCAATCATCTGCGGCCTGATCATATCTAGGAGCAGGTGGTGCCATTTTAGTCGGTGCTAGTTCTTCCGGGGTGAGTTTTCTTACATATGCTGCTGGAAACAAGCCTGTTTGACCTTTTGCATTCCTTCCTTCCCACCATCCTTCACCAATATCTGTATTCAAAAGTGTTAATATTTCTCCAGAGGTTATTGACATTTCAGTGGTCCCCGGTTCTCCAGTGAAGTCATATAGTGCTTGAACTTGGGTCGTCATTATGGACCCTTCTACCTACAACAACATTAAAATAATAATTACTTTACAATACACTAAAGAGGTCTATATCACAAGCCATTTTATTTTATCTTATCAGTGTTATCTAGAAATGTAGGGAATAAGCGAAAAGGCGTGATAAATTTATTTTTGTAATTTTCGTCTTGAGTGCCTAAATTAGAGCACACGAATTAGGACAATACTCATCGCTTAAGGCGCTGACACATTTTATAACTGCGCCAATTAAGCCTAGTACCAATCAACATATGAGACTACGCCCCTAGTTTATTATTTGTTTTTTCTATTTATTCAGGAAAGTCAATATTGTAACTTTCATCTGTGAAAACAATGCCTAAGGGATGAGATGTCACAAATATTTTAAATTATTAAATAATTAGTAAATCTGACCACTTATTTAAAGAATATTTATCTAGCATTGTCTATCATTTTCAATTTGTATAATTTTTAGTGATATATAAATTTAAAAGGATAATATATTGAAGTAAACGACAAGTAAAATTCTTGTTTTGTGATGGAAATTAATGACGTCAATATTTTGTCTACGATTAAGAACATACTATTTGAAAGAACTTAAATATGATTTAGTAGTAAGAAGCGAATGTTACATACTTTAAACGTTAAAATATTTATATTGTTACTTACTTTTGTTCACAAAAAAAAAATCAAGGCGGATATACTACTCGTACAGTCATCTGAATGACAGATTGATTCACAAGAATTTGTTTTCAATGTTAACGTTGTTTTCCTTTACGTGGCACAGCAGAGAGCGAATACGCTATTTCTATTGGTTAATATATATTGAATTTCTAATAAGCCAATGATATGGCTTTATGCTAAAAATCAATGTCAAAACTATTTTGTTAACGTCTTTGTGTTAAGCGAGTGGCAACTTATAGTTTACTAACAAGTTTTGACAGTATCCCATAGATGGCGCTGTTACAGGTTTCATAATAGCGCCATCTATTTAACAAAGTAAACATCATGAGGTTTTTCGATTTTAATTAAAAATATATTATATTACATAAAAATGTAAATGTTCATTTGCGTACAACTTTTGTACAATCTTCGAAAGCTTATTAGTTATTACTAACTATGCTTGAAATTTTTATTTTTTCGGCGCGTATAAGTGTTTTTACATTGTTTTGACGTTATCCATTTTGCGTAATTGTGTAATGCGTTGCTGCGCATTAACTTTTACATTGTACTACGACATAAATGGTTATTTAAGTCACGTTCTTCATGTACGCGGACGTAATAAACTAATTTTTAATAAGATAATATTGCACGATTAATGAAAATAGCATGGTCGGATACTAGACATTAATACAATTTTATATTAAAGTTTAAATGTAACGATGGTCACAAACTTACCAAAACATCATTTATTTATCTTTTAATAAGCAATTTCACGTTGAAACAATAAAGTTTCAAATAAAATTTCTTCTTGAAACAATAAAATATACAATTCAAAGTTTCATTAAATTAGTCAATTTCAAACACAACGTTTAAGTTTTATTTATGTAAAGTAACACTTTTTTTAACTTTTTTTGTTTGGTATCGTTTTAGAATTTCGCTGTACCTGGTGAAATTTATGGGAAGCCGTCGTTCAACACATTTCTCTTAAATGGTCTAAATCAAAACAAAAAAATTTGAAAACGTTATAAATTTATTAGAAATGGCAGTATTTTTTTATTAGTAGGCGATGAAAAGACTCACTTGTTTCTTTGCATACACTTTTTCACCTGCCTTTTAAATAATTTATTATGGCCCTTATATTTTAGCGTTCCATTGAAAAGATTACGCTCATTAGCCGTTTGCTTTAAAATGTAAATTGGATATAGGTTGGTTACCGTTTTCCTGTGAGTAGAATAAGCTATTGCCTTCCAATAAAGGAAATTAAATATGTATATTTGTTTAGGTCAAGTTCTGATGTCAACAAAAAAGGGTAATCACTTGTTCGTAATGTAGAGTAATGTGTAATGTGGTAGTCACTTCTCTTAGTTATTTTAGATTAAAGATTGAAAATATTTTGTCTATTTTACCAAAAAATTAAAATATTATCTATGTATATATGTATAATCAACGTCAAAACAAAATTTATTGTGTGATCAAAATTTATATCAAAATATATACGAAAATTACATTAAAACTTTGAGTAATATAAAAAATATTTTAAAAGAGAACAAAATCGAAAGTGCGTATTACAAGACTTCCGCGATAAACAATAGCATTCCCAAGGAGGGTTGACGTCAGGCAGGCGACCGGTCATAAAACTTTTGCCAAATCCTATCAGCAGTACAGAAGATGTACTGCGCCGATCCCAAGTGATTGGGAAATGGACAGGGAGAAGAAGAAGAAGATTAAAATATTATCTATAGGTATATATCCTAATCTATACTTAATATTACAAAGAGGAAAAATTTATTTTTTTGTTTGTTTGCTTGTACCGAATAGGCTCCGAAACTAGTGAACCGATTTAGATGAAATTTGGTAACAAGATAGTTTGAGACCCTGGGAAGGACCATAGGATAGTTTTTATCCCGGAAATCATCCCTTAAGGGGGTGAAAATGGGGATGAAATTTTGTATGGGGAAGCAACCTAGGGACGAATCCTAGTGAAGCGAGGGTGAGTCGCTATTTTTGATATAAGTAAATAAAAGATACATTTGAAAATTGTCGCATGCAAAGTGAATATTTCTCTCTATTTTTGGGCCGTAATATTAGCCAAGGCCATTAGAGCTAGTATAGTATTATATTATCTGTAGACTGTAGGTATAGTAATTTAATAAAGCTAGTGCTTGAATGCCCAAGTAGATTTTTGTAAATTATACATTTACCGGTAACGCATCTTTTTCATTTAACAACCGCCATTTAAGGGCTTATCTGAATAAAAGGGCGTTGAAATTAAAACCCAGCCTTAAGCGAGCTTCAATATAATATGAAAGTGGATCTAAATCGGACATTCGTTTGGGCGCAGATTAACCTAAGCACCAGAGATCAGGAGAGATAAAGTAAAAAAGGCACAAACCTCCTAATTCAATTTTCCGCAACCTGAAACAATAATAGATTGGAATTACTTAAAAAAGTCTTTGTAATTTTAATAGCTTTATACTGTATACATTTTTGCCTGTAGCCTCTCTCCGTGCGTTTTACAAAATAAGTAACACTAACGACTTATACTGTCGCTCGGGTGTTTCCTTTATATGTTACTCCAGATCGTGTTATATCTCTATAGTAAATATCGTCCAAATCCAGGCATTTCATCGAGAAAAAGTAACAAGCATACACACAAACACACGCATAAAAATTGCGCAATTATAATATGTTGTGGTCGTATTTATAAATGGTTCTCAACTAAAATCAATTGTTAAACGATGATTGAACATACGTTGTATAGAAATATTTTATTTAGTAAATAATAATTAAAAAGTATTTGATACATGCAATAGAAGAAAGTTGATATAAATAAATATGTAGATTCTTTTAAGAAATTTCGTCCCAATAACATTTTAAAAGCGGTCATGTTAAGTACCTTGTAAATTGAATGGAAACATAAATATTACTCAGTACAATATTTTCAATATCATTAAGTTATATATTTATGTTTTAATGAAATAAGTGTTAGGAATATTGCTTGGAACAAGTTATTAAATACTGAGAGGCAAAAACTGACACAAATAAGCTTATGTATGGAAATTTCCAACTCTTAAGCTATCTTCACGCGTAAAAGTCACGTTCGTCTATTGCACTGTTTCTTTGAGAAAAGAGGAAGAAACTAACAAACAAGGTTTAACCAGCATTTATAATAATAGATAAGATTGTAGGAAATTGAAAAATAACATTAATCTATTGATAGTACAATGTACACTACAAATCTAAGAACATTCTGCATCTACTTTCTTTTTATTTTATTAGGTATACATTAAAATGCATGAAATCAGCCAGTGGCAATATTGGCCAGTTCTGCATAATTAGTATACTAGGAAATGCTCTAGGAACAACGTAGAGAACAATTTTAAAGTAATTTAAGCATAACGTTGGGATGGTGGTTAAAACAAATTTCGTGGTTATTATAACATATTTGTTCATTTATTTTTTTAATACTGTCACAGATTTACGCGAATATTTGTCATCTATACTTATTATAAAAATAAGTCCCCCGGCCGCGTCTTTCTGTCCTCCTGTCTGTCTGTACGCGATAAACTCGAAAACTACTGAACGGATTTTTATACGGTTTTCAACAATAGAAAGAGTAATTCTTGAGGAAGGTTTAGGTATATAATTTATTATGCTTTTATTTAAATTAGCTGAAATACGGCGACAAATGTTGAAGAGGTCGCAAAAAATCTCGCCAAATGGGAACTTTCCACGCGAACGCCGCGTAAACTAGCAAAGATACAGTTAAGTAATGTACTAGAGAATTCAAAATCTATAAAAATGCTACAAAAAAGTCCGCGATAGCATATCTCTATCTCTTACGGTTGACTTACAATAACCACTTTTATGTTAACATTTTTAATTAAAAACATTACGTTATTTTCAAAGTTATTTTCTTTAGTTCGGTATTAATCCTTATCCAAATGAATATTTTAGTTAGCTTAGTCATTTAATGCAGATTAAAATTGCTCTTTACACTAAATCAATCAGATGAATAGTTTTTGAGATATCATTGTTAGAAGTAATTAGTAGCGAAACATTTTTAATGCTTGGCGAGCATTGAGATGCCTACGGCGAGTCCATCCCCTCTGCCCCGCATCGCTCGACCGCCTGCTCAAGCTATATAAACCGGGCGATGTAGCGCGCGATCCTAGGATACTTTTTACCGCGGGAAAATATCTTATTTCTGAGGAAAAATACAAAAACTGCAATGTAAGAGTATACTAATATGTAACACCTAAGAATTTAGTTTTTGGTCATCTGAACGCGGGCGGAGCCGCGGGCAATGCTAGTTTTAAATAAAACTATCTTTTCGGACTTTTTCG